CCTTTTAGCTAAAGTCTTGAAATTTCTACACCAAATAGCGTTTTTCAATAGCTTCAATTTGATATATAGCCCAACGTTCAGTGTTGAGTATTTCTGCTCATAACTCAGAAAAACTAAAATGCACTGGCTTCAATTCCCCCCCTAAGTTAGCCTTCCAGTTTATTTATAGTTCAATGGTGTATACACATAAACTTGTGTTTAGAGCTCGACAACTGGACTCTGTAACTCAGTTGGTTAGAGCTCGACAACTGGACTCTGTAACTCAGTTGGTTAGAGCTCGACAACTGGACTCTGTAACTCAGTTGGTTAGAGCTCGACAACTGGACTCTGTAACTCAGTTGGTTAGAGCGCTGGACAGGAATCGCAGGCCCGCAGGTTAGATTCCTGCCAGGGAGCTATAGTTGCATTTTTCGTGTTTCCAGCATCGTTTCTAATTTTCAACGAGTGACCGAGTGAAAATGGCTCTGGGGACGAGAATGGCCCCACAGTATGATGTATTCACAATCTCGTTCCCTGAGGCTGCGGTCCTTGGGAAGGAAACGAAGGCTCTGGGATAATCCGTTTTAGGGAGGAATCTGATTGGCCGTTGATATGGAATGTGCAGTTCAATCTTAGCCAAAATTCCTGGCTTTCGGCAACGGATTAACCCAGAGCCTTCGTTTCCTTCCCGAGGATCGCAGGCTCGGGGAACGAGATTGATGTATTCAGTTAGCATATTTACCTTGAATGCTGTCCCAACTTGCAAAGGTATTGTTGCTTTCATCCAGGCGCGCGACCTCTGTTCTCCAGCAACACTCCAGAGTAATCTTCTTCCTGCATTCACCTCCTCAACATATACATCCAGACGTCCCATGTCAGAGCCGATCATGTGATACTTGAACCTCGCGCACGTGTACACTGGCGGCATTATCCTAGTTACCAGTTCTCCACGGTCTCCTTTATCATCAGGGTAGGAAGACTCGAGAAAATGGAAGTCACCTGATATGACCATATGATGATAGGTAGCTGTAATAAACATTGTCAAACTCTTAAATAACTCAGGAGGAATACACAAAAGAAATCATGACGGTCTTTTAGTTGACCTAGCTCAGTTCATTGATTGACCCCACCCGAGTCAAATTATGCTACAAAAAAAGTTTTAAAAAATTTTTAAAATTATGCTACAATATCACGTGATTGAAACCCAAGAATAGTTACAAGGCAAAACTTTTATTTGGCACTAAAAACCTCAAGCTTCTGTCCCAACTTGTCTGTTATATGGTTGCTTCACTGTGTTTGAAAGGTCATATAGCCGTGTTTACACTACGAGCCTAAGCCTGGCCTAGGCCTACCTTTGGACTAGATTTTTGTAGTGTAAACGCACTTTGGGCCTGGCCTAGGTTAGGAAATGTGGAACACCTGTTCTGATGGCCCAGATTTCCTGACCTAGGCCAGGCCCAAAGTGCGTTTACACTCCAAAAATCTAGTCCAAAGCTAGGCCTAGGCCAGGCTTAGGCTCGTAGTGTAAACACGGCTATACTTGCATGTAACATTGAGATGAATGTTAGGGGACTTCGGTGGCGAAGTCATCAGAGCATGCGCCTTTCACGTCTGAGTTCGTGGGTTCGATTCTCGCTACGGACTCATGTGAAAAGAGTCAGCCAAGTGCACCGGTTTCCTCCCACAAGGAAAGTTGACAGGGTGGGTTAGGATAAACACAGTTAAGAAAGTAATATCACAATTGTTGTAAACATAAAATAGTCCAGGCTAAGTATGTAATGGACCATTTGCATTACAGACTAAATTTTGATCTAGACAAAAATTTCATGACAGCTTGAAATGTAATGTTTTAATTATTAGCGTTCCGTTTGTAATATCAATTGACAGTCCAGTATCAATTTTCCGTTTGTAATACAAAATGACTGAAAATTGCAAATTTTGCAAGGCTATATTATCCACATTTTACAACATTTCGCAACGAAACTTTGGAATATTACTAATTTTGTGATGCTCTTTCAAGCTGTGATGAAATCAAGACCAAAATTTAGTTTATAATGCAAATGGTCAAATTGTTATAAAGATAAAATAGTCCAGGCTAAGTAAGTATGTAATTAGGTAAGCGTAATACTTGATGTAAAGCGCATTTGATGATATCCATGCACATGTAAATTTGTGCTATAGAAATGCTAGTCGTCATCGTAGCACGCTATCTACAGCAACCTACCTCTAGGACAGACATAGATCTCAGCATTCATTTTAGCTGAGGTTTCCCACGTCAATAAAGTAAAACGAACATGCCGAGCAAAAAAAGGTTTATGTAACACCTTTTTATCGATTGTTATGCCGTTCTTATTTCTCACAAAGACCTGAAAAATATGAAGTGTTTTCAACTTAGTTAATGTCAGTTTTTGAGCACAGAAGAAGGCATTGTTTCCTAGCGATGTTTTCGGAAGGTGGGCAAACCAGGGGACATTGTTTTCAAGCCACGTTTCGTGAAGGTGGGCAAACCAGGAAGCATTACCTAGCCATAATGATAAGCCATTTTTTTCAAAGCCAAAAAAACCCCAGAAAACGTTGTTTCCTAGCCATAATAAGCCATTTTTTTCAAAGGAAAAAACCCAGAAAACATTGTTTCCTAGCCATGTTTCCCAAAGGTGGCCAAACCAGGAAACAAAAATTAAATAACATTTGGAAAAATGGGAAAAGTTCCAGCTTGTCAAGAAAAAACTGTACAGGTCTTACTTACTTTTCTTTGTTTAAAAACATCTAAATAAACCATCAGTTGGTCAGCAGCAAACCCAAAGGAGAGAAAATATGTCTTTAAATATCTATTCGGGCCTCCGCGTGTTGCAAAACCAGTAACCAGACGAAGAAACAACAAATCAACTTGCAGCCAAGGTTCCACCTCGTTATCCTTTGCTCTCCACCCACCATTTGGATCATTTAACCTAGCTTTAGTAGCTTCATTCTTAACGTTGCCAGACGAGAAGAAAGAAGATGCAGAGAATGAACTATCTGGTATACGGCCGTCTTCCAAACCCACCGGTTCACTGCACACTAAAAGTACAAATATTTTTAAACATTTTGAGCAAATGTGTAAGTTAGACATTAACATAGCCTATAAAGCAGGTTGCACGTATGAAGGCTGTATAGCGCTATCCACCGGATAGTGATTTTCTCAATCTTTCTAAAAATGCTTGCAAAGCTGTGAAAGGTACGGATCTCGCAATTAATAATAATTTATAAGTACTTAAGTTTAATCTGACCGAAAAAGGAGGAAGTCGCTTTGCGCGAAAAGAATCGCCAAGTAAAAAACGGGCATTAACGACTGTATTCTAAAAGATCACTCAAACTCAATGAGTGGGGGGTTCAATCTGAGCTTCAAAAGAGGCGCCTGAGTGTCAATGCTGTTTATGAATACATGTAGGGTGAGTAGTGACATATAGCACAGTACAGCACTAAGCCTTCAGCTATTCAAAAACAGCACTGACACTCAAGAGAAGCTCAGATTGAACCTCCACTCATTGAGTGTGAGTGAACTTTTAGAATACAGGCGTATAAGTCTTTGAAAGGGGATTACACACTGAGCTTTACTATGATATAGTATAGCTCAGTGGGATTACACTATCATCGGGATTTGGGGCATATCTCACTTGATACTGTAGAACTACTAGGGTTTTACAGATGGCAATTTCGACTGTAAATTTTATTAGACCTTAAACCCATTTCCCAGCAGGCGATAATTTTTCACCAACCAATCACATTGCCGAAATTTGTTTTTCGCTTCGTGCGAACAAATTCTCTTATAGTGGGAAAACGGGCTTAACAAGGAGGCACAACAACTGTAGGCACACTGGTAGGAATCGCAGGGCCACAGTTTTGATTCCTGTCAGAGAGCATATAATGGACAATTCCCATTATAGACTAAGAGCATACTAATATGAGTAAAATTGCAAAGTTTAGTTTCGAAATGTTGTAAAATACGGAAAATATATATAGCCTTGCAAAGTTCGCAAATGTTGTATTCTTTTGCATTGCATGCGGAAATTGCTACCATTTTCGGCCCAAATGTGGCAGCAATTTCCGCACGCAAGACAAAAGTATACAAAATTTGCGAACATTGCAAGGCTATATTTTCCGCATTTTACAATATTTCGTAACCAAACTTTGCAATTTTACTCATTTTAGTATATACTCTTTCCGGGAATATACTTTTTTTGCCAAGATAAAAAAATTATCTATATATTTTTCACAACTGTTCCTGGTTAAGTCTGATAAATGTATAAAATTTACACTTGTAATTTCCATCTGCAAAAACCTTACACTATCATGGACAAGATATTTCCATCACAGGAGCTTCGACAACATAAACCGAACGAAACTCACCATTTGAAAGATCTAAATTTCTTTTGCTTTTCCCCTGATCGCTAGTGTCAATCAACGACAAAATTTTCTTGCCAAAATGAGACAAATGTGCGTGCGGAACAACGACTTCCAAGTACAATGGTCCGTTCGGATAACACGAACCGCAGTATGCACCACAATTGGCATCAATAACTTGAGCATAAAGATCTTCATGAATTGTATACAATTTTTTGTGTTCAGCCGGCCAAGCGCCTCTTCCCCAGGAAACGCCCGGTTTTATCTGTCAGGACAAAGCGTCATTAGGGTTGATAAATAATCGAGAAAGCAATATCACTATTTTTATGTATTAATATCGTGAACATATATATCATAGGTTTACTGTTTGTAACTTTATAGGTTTTTAGGACTGTAGGTTTACGGATTTATACGTTTTTGGGCTTCTATAGGTCTTTAGTCCCAAGGTTTCTAGGGCTATGGGTTTCAACCCAGAGATCTAGAAACCCAGAGACCCAACAAACCATTGTAAAATGGTGATACAGTTAGCGGGCTCGATATGATAATCCTCAAAAATATAAACAAACACAGGGTGTGTTTGCCTATAATTATCATAATCGACAAAACAATATTAATATTTTTATGTATTAATAATATTGTGAATATATATATATGGGTTATATATAAAGTTTTCTATAGTTACCCTTAGACCAGTTCCAGTGAGGTCAATATTAAACAGACCACGCGGCATACACAGTGCTTTTGAGAAACAGTCTCCAGCATTTCCATAACTAACGTTCGTAAGGAACACATTATATCCAAAGCTATTATCCCATCGTAACACCTCCATGTTTTTTACATCAAGACGGATCTAGAATGACAATAATTTACCTAAAAAATCTTTCCTATTTTCTCCATTCTTCCCATTCGTTTTTTCCTTTCTACATTCGTAGCGTTCTACTCTACACACGCAAAAGTCTCACATCTTGTAGCAAGTCTGCCAACAAGCAGTCAACAAGTTACCTTCGCAATATGCTTGTCCCAAGTTGTCAACAAGTTTGGAACAAACTGTTAACAACTTGTAACAACCTTGTTGATATTATCAGACTTGTTGCAAGGTTTTTCCAACAAGTCCGATACAGTCATAATATAACAATATTGTTAGGAATTATTAAAAGAACTGTTGGCACATCAAACCGGAAAGTTTTCTCTACATTGCATAAATCGCTAGTTAGACCTATTCTCGAGTACGCTGTTCCAGTATGATGTCCCCACCTTACAAAGAACATTCATGCTCCGGAAAAAGTTCAAAGACGAGCTTCAAGACTTGCCTTAAATCAAAGACGAGGGGAAATGTCATACGAGGAAAGATGCAAGAAGTTGGGCTGGCCGGATCTTTTCGCAAGTCGGGATTATCTTAGCTGAATTGAATGTTATAAAACAGTGTTTGGTATCACTGATGATTTGAACTTCGGTGATCTGTTTGAAAAGTCGAAGTCATCACGCACTAGAGCCAATCATAGATATAAACTTTATGTAAAAATGGCTAAGGTAAATTCATATAAGTACTCTTTCTTTGTTAGAATTATACGACTTTGGAACAATTTACCAAGTAGTATCGTAGAATCCGATAGTATTAGTGTGTTTAAAAACCGTTTGAAACAACACTTAAATATTAAAGAAACCGTTTGAACACCTTTCAAAAACTATTTAAAACAACGTTTAAGCTTGTTACAAGTTGTTAACAGCTTGTTCCAAACTTGTTACAACAACTGGGAACAAGCAGTGCGAACACAACTTGTCGACAGCTTGTGAACAGATTTGTAACAACTTGTTTACAGATTTGTAACAACTTGTGCGTTTTTACGTGTGTACCTCTCTCTTCCTTCCGTTTCACGTGTCCTCTCTCCATTTAAAGTTGGTGCAAATGCGACCCAGTCGTCACTGTATAGAATATATATTTTTATTTAGCTTTCGTCGTTCAACGACCTCTTCAGAATAAAATATGGTCTGACCGTTCGCTTATATATGTGCAACATACTAATTACAACAAGACATGAATACTAATGTAAAGCTAATCAAAATTAATTAAGCCTGCAGTCCATAGTTCCAGAATAAAAGGAGAGTGAGAGAGTCCCAGGAGCACTAAATAAAAACTGTAGCCTTGCCCTTGGAATTAATTTTGATTAGTTTTATACATTAGTTTAAAATACTCATTAATAATTCGTAAACCTTGTGGCAAATCATGTCGGCCATAATATGTCACGTGGAGTGACTTTATATTTGATAAAGCATGAGGCATTATATAATAATTGTTCATCCTAATTAGTATGATTATATAATGGTTCATCCTAATTAGTATTCTTTTGTAGTCGTATTTTAAGCTATTCAAAATACTCGTTGTCGTGTTTTATCAGACATAAAACGCTCGGCTGCGCCTCGCGTTTTATATCTAATAAAACAGTCATACTCGTGTTTTAAATAGTACATAAATGTCTTATTCTAATTAGTATGTTGTACATATACAAGCGAACGGCTAAGTTAACGACAAAAGCTAAATAAAAATATATATTCTTCACAGCAACGACCGAGCCGCATTTGCACCAACTTTATATAGCAGAATGTTACTGAAGATACCTTCCACCGTCTCGCTTCATTTCTTTTTCTCTCTATCCTCACTCTCTGTCATTCCCTTTCTTTCTTACTTCCCCATGTTTATTTATCTCCACACCCTCTCCTTCCAACCTTCATCCTTCCCTCCCCACACCCTCTCCTTGCAACCTTCATCCTTCCCTCCCCACACCCTCTCCTTCCAAACCTTTATCCTTCCCTCCCCACACCCTCTCCTTCCAACCTTCATCCTTCCCTCCCCACACCCTCTCCTTCCAACTTTCATCCTTCCCTCTCCACACCCTCTCCTTCCAACTTTCATCCTTCCCTCCCCACACCCTGTGAAATGAAGAGGAGAATCTTTTGTATGTTGCGTAAGACGCGCTCAAAACTAGCGAATATACTTTTCCACTTGCTTATGACTATTTTTTTAATACGTTTCTCAAGCGGCAAACAAACTTAATGTAGTATTTTGAACCACTTTATTATACTACATATAAGAACTGCCATACATAGTTACAAACACTAAGTTTATATACCTTAATTTACATACATGCTAATTAGTTCCGGTCTAATACACTACATCTCCCCCTCAATTTAATATAAATGTCAATATACTATTATATAAATGTCAATATATTAGAAAGTACTAACGATATCAAATGTTCAACAGATTATATGTTCTATAAGATCTAATTGTATGTTGGGGGTTTTTTTTGTCTGTTTTTTCTTTTACAAAATCTACTCCTACTAATTATGGAAATTTAACATGCTAATCCATTTAAACTTATAACGTCAATTTAGAATTATTATGAAACGTAATCTTTCATCCAAACTGGCGGTCGTCTCGCACGCAATGGTCGTACATTTGGACTTGGGCTGCTAGGCTGCGGTACTGAACTTGGTACGTCTGATTGATCTTGCTTCGCAGGATCTGCACTAACGGGTTGCGCTGTCGATTCCTCAACTTCATGAAGTATGACTGGCGTTTCTAACGTTTCTCTAGTTTCAACAACTTGTGGCTCCACATACTTCTTCATGTGCGCTATTCCTCGCATCTTATTATCTCCACCAGAATCTTGTATAACAACTGCATTGCCTTCTCTGCGAATCACTCTGTATGGAAGTGGTTCGAAACTTGACGTTAGCTTGTTTTTCCTCGTTTGTTTCAACAACACTCGATCACCCTCACTAATGTTGCTATCTTGGGCCGCGCGTGTCTTATCGGCGTATTCTTTCTGTCGGAGTTTTACACGAGCATCCCTTTCTTTCAAAAGCTGTTTCCGTTCTGTCTCGGTGACACGACTTTCATTAACTTCAACTCTCGGGAGCTTTTCACGTAGTTTCCTTCCCATCAAAAGTTCGGCCGGAGTTGTGCCAGTTACTGTATGAGGAGTTACTCTGTAGTGGAATAGGAAATCTTCCAATGCTTTTTTCCAATCTTTACCTTCAATTCTGGCAATCCTAACGATCTTCAACAAGGTTTCGTTGCAACGTTCAACTCCTCCGTTACTTTGAGGCCAATAGGGTACGCCTTTCTTATGGATTATTCCGAGACTCTTTAAGAACGCTTCAAAATCTCTTGATGCAAATGGAGGGCCATTGTCACTACGAATTGTCTCTGGCAAACCGTGTGTTCTAAAAATAGCCTCCAGACTCTTTATCACGTGCTGCGCGTCTGTTTTGCGAAGTAGAATGGCTTCGACCCAACGAGAATAATAATCTACGACGACCAGAAGATGACTCTCACTGGTTATTTCGAGAAGGTCAACTGAAA